GTGTCGATCGTCATCGGCACCGCATTCTTTCCAGATATTTCACACTGTCGAAGGGACTGTCGTTTGACAAAATAATATTCAGTCCATGTTTCTTCTTCTCCAAAGTTTACAGCTTTCATTTTTATTGGTGTGGTTGAATTTTGGCAAATAAGGAACTTAAGATAGTGAAGCATAACCGGACATCTACTTTATCCGAGAAATGGTTTGGCGAACTAATGATTCTTGATTTGTCACCAAATGTTGTACTAATAACGAATATTACCCCGTACCATTTTTGTCAAACTGTTGATATTTCAAAACTAAAAGTTTGAAAAATGGTAATTTTTTAGAAATTAATTTAAGAAAACTTTAGAATATGTTACAAAAGAAAGTGAAGCATCTACATTGCTGTCAACATCAAACCTTCGGTCCTGCTTTCCTTGTATAAAAGTTATTAATAAATAGTGATCATATACGAGTAATTATGTGCAAAAAAAGAAACGATGTAGTTAGTATCGATGATGCCAATCAATTTACCATTCAAGGACTACAACCTTCGATAAGTGTATAACAGTTACTAAAATGTACATATCAACATATTCCTGTATAAAATAGTATACGTTATATTACTCTATTACAATAATTAATATTTCATCACGTTCTATGAAATTTTGTATATTTAGTGAGGCAAATACCTATTAATTATGTTGTCTGAATACACGTTTTTAAAATTAAGATTAAATAATGATGGTTATTAAACCATTACTGATAAATATTTAGTATCAGACAAATAATAAGTTCCAATTCAAAAGGTTCTTTAATCTTAAAAATATTTAACATTTTGTTAAAAATATAGAAAAATAATAATAGGGGAAAGTTTTTTATTATAAATAACACTCTATAAGGGGCGTTTATTAATATTACAATCTGATCAGAAGTTGATCAATGAATTTGTTCTAACCTAACTGAGGTTGCAATCTAAGGGAAAAGTTGGGATATACGTCCTGCGGCTAATATCGACCACGGTATTTTTACGATAACGAAAACGTAAGGGAACTTGTGACATATCCTACAAGAGTAAAACAACTAGTGAAACTACCCATAAACTTAATCTTGTTTAGATTGTGTGTTCGCAGTTTGCATTTTATATGAAACTTTTATAATTTTTACTAGTCCTTTGGAAAGGTTGGTTACTTTAATATCTATATGTTTGGTTACATTTCTATGACTTATACATGTTTATTGTATAGTTCACACTTATAGATTAGGTTAAGTTTGAAATATTTTCTACTAGGCATTCCAAACAAAATGGCTACCAGTTGGTTTTGACAGGTTATGAAATGGCAACATTGTGGCAACCCTTTAATCCTGATGATTTGAAAGGGTCAATTAAATAGATAGTCATATATATTAATCATCCATGTTTTTCAAAGTAAGCATAAGGTTATGCTTTGAAGTAAAAAATGTAGTTAATTATTATTTTTGCTATATTCAACGGCTAAACATTGGTTTGTAAACACATTTTTGCTTAACTGATTATGAATAATGAGTACTTGCAAGGCAATATGGCTACTCGCAAACTTTTTAAATTTTAAATTTTCATTTCAGAAATATTATTGTGAAATTTTATTTACAGGATATTTTTACGTCTCAGGCACATTTCAGAAATGTTTCTGGAATCTTTCGTAATATTTATACATTACAAATGTTTTGATGTAACATTTTTGAAATATTTCCGAAATGTGTGCAGTATGGGATATTGCCGTATTTTTTGTTCTTTTAATTACAAATAAATGCATTTGATGGTTTGCCTGCGTCAGTTTATAGTGCATATAACTTGTAACGATTAAACGGATTAATTAATTTATTTTTTATAAATTGACGTTTGCTATAGAGTTTCGGAACAAATGATGTTTACTAATATATCGATTTTTCGGAATAGCAGTTAACAATACTTAGATACGAAATTTCACAAAACGGAGTATATTAACAGAAAGGGCACTAAAAACTGTTTGATGATACCTATATAAAAGTCACTTTTATATTTTTGCCGACTTGTCTAGTATTGTCTACTACACTCGATACAATCTACTATCAGTTAAGCTTATGCCCAAACACCTTTTTCGTAAAGGGTTAAACTGGTAGCCTTCCAAGGGTGAAAAACAAGCGAAAGAGTCCGCAGTAATCACTATTGAAGAAAATACTTCAATATTACACACTCAAATGTCGATGGATCTCCCTATATAAAACAACGAACTAATCTTAAAATCTATTAAAATAAGTCTTACAATTTTTTTGTCTATAAATCCTCTTTAGCGGGTGTGTAATGGGTCCAAAAAACAAACATGGGAATTTATCCAAACAACAAAATTCCCCAAAAATATTATTTATCTGTTCTTCCACTGGGTTAAAATCTAGAATCCCCTTTAATAGGATTGCCCGATGGCTATAAAAAATAAAAGATTTTACCCCTTAGACCAAAATATGGGTTTCTTTGCCTTTCTTCATCTGTCAGATATATTTTATGAACAAAATCTCCCACGATGTCTCCCTTTCCTTGAAAAATGAGAAACCGAGTTGGTTCAGAAATTCATCTTTAATAATTTACCAGTACATATCTACTAGATACTATTTACGAAAGATTACCCTGCAAAGTATATCTATATACAATATAACTACATTTGGAAATTGTTACTGACAAAAATCGATACCACATCGGTCGCGAAAAATCTTATAACCCTATAGTTAAACAAACGTACCTCGTACAACGATACCATTACCTGGAATTTAGAACCAGACTGAACGACACACAAAACATGACACTGGCAATTATCGTGTCCCGTCGTTGACTGACATTTAACCTAACAACTTGTACTGAAATTCGTACTGTCAAAAATCAAAACAATAACATTGTATTAAAATAATTAAACTAATCAAAAAGAAAATAAATTTGATGAAATTTGCGCTTCGTTAATAATCAATTACTTGAAGGTAAGGTTATAATACATAATACATAAATAAATTCACAACGACACTTTCTATTTTTAGGAGAATTAAACAAACTAAAGCAAGCCAGTATTGTAAAAAGTATTGTACTAGGCATTGTAACGGTTGTAACCGTTTTCGTTATTTAGTCCCAGACATTGTAACGGTTGTAACCGTTTTCGTTATTTTGAAACCACCATCTCTACACAAACGTCAATTGTCGTTTATGCCTTGTGTCAAAACTCGGGTTGTCATTTCGATTTACCGCTGTCTTCAAGCAAGTTGAATTATTGAATTTTAATTATCTTTTATCTAGTACATCCGATGTACTAATTGTTTTTAATATTTTTAATGATCGTCTGTTGAAAATATATATTTAGTACAAGAATTTCTTTATTAAAATGTCAAATTTGAAACATAACCTCAACATAACCACACATTGAATTGAATCACACAAGAAATCTTATGTTTTATATAATTTCATATATTATTTTGTTTGAAATAGATAATATGCTTTACTATATTTAAATGTGTTAAATAAGACTTTTTCTTTTCCTATTAAATTTGGTCTCTGTGAAGCTATTCAAATAATAGTTTAAATTTTCATTTAATAGTAAAAAGTATTATCTATTTTCTATATACTCTTCCTGACTCCTTTCTTTATATTTTTACCTTTTTCCTTGTAGTCTGGCTTTATATAGATGGTCCTATAGAAGTTGTATATAGATGGTTTCAGTAGAAGTTCAGTAGAAGTTATATCGATGGTTTTATAGAAGTTTATCGAAAAAGATTGTTAGGAAGAACGTTCCAGCTGCATGTGTAGAAATATTGAAACTTAGAAGTTTGGTTCCAGCTACAGAGGTTGTTTCAAGTATTTTAAGAGGTTTAGTTCGAGCCATCCAAAGAAGTGTACGAGATTTAACTTTACCTAAGAAGAATTATCATTTGGTGATATCCAAGCCTATCATACGAATCCCCTGTACCTGCTACCTGTTATACCAAAGATAAGTTATAATAAATCATTTCAATTTGAATAATTAAGTCTCTGTGAATTAGAATTTGTCGCTACCTTATTAAATTATAATATCATAAAGGTTAGTGATTTTCTATATTTTCATCATTAATCGCTTGTCAAGTTTAGAAAGTTTAAATATAGTGGCGTCCAACATTCTTTTTCAAAGTGATACGAGTTGTTTAATAACCTAACCTACTCCCCAAATAATAAGAGCTAAAACACTATAAAAATAGATAAAATAACAAGATCATATTGCAGCATAAAATCTACAAAAATGTATAACTCAGATAATATGAACAAAAAAACGAAGCTCCTGTCCAGTGATATGATTAATTAAATTATAATAATGATATTTAAAGGCTAACAATACATATAGCCAGTTCACGACAAAAATAATGGCTTTTAAAACCATAAATTACGGTTTAACTTTTTTCCGTATATTTAAACAAGGCGAGTCGAATTTTCCTCTAGTAATTCTTGTAGCTAAAAATAAACGTTACAATGTTGTATCAATGTAATCTAATAAAAAATATAGATTTTGGTTCTGTCTAAATCCATTGCATTTAATTTTTTCTTAATTGGTCGATATTCCCCGACTTTTCCCCACCAGATAAATAATAAGTTTCGTTTTACTGTAAAGTTTCAATTAAAAGTTTCTTTAAATTTCTATTTTCAAAACTATTTATCATTTGTTTAAAAATATAAAAGAGAAAAAAATATGTGTAGCTAAAAATAATATTACTAAATAGGTACCTGTGTTTTTTTTAACAATTTTTTTTTAATCTAGCTGAATAAACAAAAATTACTTATAGCAATCCAAATGCCTTGGCGATGCCCAATTATAATTATTGTAAACAAAGGAAATTATTTACGCTCATTTATTAAAACCATTTTAATGAGACACAATTATCTGTCAATTTCAAAAACATTAGGTAAGTAAAACAATATTGGTCGACAAGAAACAATAAATATTTGTGTTTTTAAATATAATATAAAATACACAGATTGACTGGTCAGATATCCAAATCAATAATTTTGTGTGATACTTAAATTTGTGGCATTAATCACAATGTTTCTTATCGTTCTTGTTTCTGGTATAGACGGAAGAGAATCTTGTTTATTTAGTTAAATTTGTGAAATAAAAACAGTAATGTGTTAGTATGTTAGTAAATCAGTTTTCTTCAGTGTTTATAGTGTGAATCAATGAAAATAGAGGTGAGTTTTTTAATTTGTTAATTTTTGTGACAGGTTCAAAAAAATAGAAAGGTATCTGAATATATTATAAAGCCGTTATAATATAACCATATAAATTAAAATTTTAAATGTCGTGGGTAGGTCTAATTCAATGTGGAATATTTAATTTTAAGGTGGGGCTGGAAAAATACAAACTTTGGCTAAGTAATAACATAACAATAATCATCTCTTTAAATATTTGTAAAGCTTATTGTGACCTTACAATGTATTAAATTCTTGGTTTCTGTGAATACCTCAGGGTAATTCTAGATCGCTATTTGAAGTGAAATTAATCTTTTTATTATTGGTTAGATTAAAAGACCATTACGATTGGATTATTTTGTCTCAAAAAAATCTGATAATGTTACAAGTAGACCTTAATGATTAGATAATGTATCCCAAACTGAGATACAAACCGGATCTGTCGCGAAAGGAAAAATGTTTTAGGAAATTTCTGAAATAAAATTATTTCGCAATATTATGAGTGTCGAGAAAACTGAGAGCTTTAAATTTGTGCCACGATAAGGCAGCACTCCACAGAGACGTTTAAGACAAAAAGGTGGGGAATTCACCAATTTATAAACTACTAAATATTTGTTAAAACAAAAAGCAGCAAATTTTCAGAGTTTTAATACAGAATGGCAAGTAAATGGTTTTTTTAATTCCCTTTAAAAATGTTCAATTGCATATCCATTCAATCTAGTAAGAACGCGCTAAAAAAAAATAAATCCACCAATCACAGTTCATATTGTGGTCACCCGGCTACTATTGTTTTTTTAAATTTTAAATATTAGACAATCCTGTATACTTTTTAATTATGCAGACCAAATATACAGGGTGTTTATTAATTGAGTGCCGATACTTAAGAGTGTGAATCCTTGGGTGATTTTAAGAGGAAAAGTAAATATCAACATATATCGTAAATCTCTTAATTTTTGAGCTACAGGGTGTTACAGTTTTAAGAAAAAAATATATTTTTTTTCATAATTTTCTTATCACTGCAGATATTTCTATGAAATTTTGTAAACACCTTTTAATCATTAAGCAGCATTTTTTGACGTATAAGATTTTTTTAAATTTTTACCAGTGACTTCCGTACGGGGTTTGAACTGAATATTTTTGAAGAAAAAAATGGTACGCCACTGCTTTTTCTAAAATCCAAAATTATTTTTGAAATATTCATTTATTTTTGAGCAAATTTGGCCCAAAGACTTGCTTTCGTACGATGCACTGTGTTAGCGTAAAAAAATAAAAACCAAAATTTTTTTTTCTTAAGCTGCTTTTGATTTTTTGTTGAAATTTGGTAGGCACCCACCATGCGTGAAAACACTTATTTTGGGGCAAAAATTAATTTTCTACTTCCACCAGTGACGGCCACGTAGGCATCATATTGAATGTTTGGATAGAAAAAAAAAACGTACACCTCTGATTTTTTAAATTCTATGTGTTTTAAAAATCGGGATTTATTTATAGTAAAATGAAAATTCAAAATCTTGAATCTAAAACGAAATTACAAGAGAATACAATCAAAATAAAAAACCCAAATTATTTACAGTAATTGTTGGAAGTGTCCTCCACCCACACGTATGCAAGTATCTACTCTTCTTCGCATAGACTGACGCACATTTTCAAAGATTCCTGGGGTGTTTCTTATGGTTTGGCAGCAGACTGTTATACGATTTCGTAACTATTCTTCGGTTTCAGATGCCCCCGGAAAACGAAGTCTAAACTATTAAGGTCGGGAGATCTAGGCGGCCATGACTGCGTTCCTCCGCGACCTATCCACCGATTGCGATAGGTGTGATTTAAAAATTCACGCACTCGTAAGCTAAAATGTGGAGGCGCACCATCGTGCATTAGCTACATCTGGTTTCTTAATAAAAGAGAAAGGTCTTCAAGCATTGGCGGCAGATCATCTTCAAGGAAGTGTAAATATGATTGTCCATCAAGTCTTCTTGGGAGAAAAAATGGGCCTATCAAATAATCATCAATAATGCCAGCCCAAACATTTAATGAGAACTGTTCTTGATGATTTGACTCAACAATTGCATAAGGGTTTTCATCCGCCTATAAATGGTTATTATGGAAATTTATTATTGAGTTTCGAGAAAAATTAGCTTCATCGGTAAAAAGAATGTGCCTGTCAAATAATGGATTTTCCAGCAGGTTTTGAAGAAACCACTCACAGAAATTAATAACTCTAGGGAGTAATGCCCGATCTCTTTGAATGTGATATGGGTATAAAAAATTTTCGATGAGAATTTTCCAAACAAGTACATGTAAAACATTAAATGTTGACGCGATTCTCCTCGTGCTAGTTTCGGGATTCTCCTCAATTTCATGTAAAATTCCTTCTTCAAGTTTCGGTGTTCTTACTGTTTGATGGACTCCTTTAGCCCTGTGGTCTATTTTTAAAGTTCCGGTCTCGTGAAGATGTCTATGAATCCTAGAAAATGTTCTCGGATCGGGTAGTACGCGATTTGGATACCGCTCTTGGTATATCCGTCTGGCTTCGTATGCATTTCCGTCAAGCCCATAACTAAAATGCATGTCAGCTAATTCACTGTTCGTAAAATTTACCATTTTTTTTTCAGATTTTAATTCTTACTCTAATAATAATTATTTAATAATGTAAAATCAATGTCAACTTTATTGTCTTTATGAAAAGAAACGTCAAAAATGATGACGCTTTACCCGGCCTACTAATGTTTATTTCATTTGCTTTAAGAGGGCAATAATGCGCTTACCATTTTTTTCTATTCAAAACGTAGAAGATTAATTTTTGTCCCAAAAAAATGTTTCCACGCATGGTGGGTGCTTACCAGATTTCAACAAAATATCAAAAGCAGTAGGTATCAATGAATTTAAGGAAAAAATTTGACGAACCACTACAATGGTTTTTATTTTTTTACGCGAAAACGGTGCATCGTACGAAAGTAAGTCTATAAACCAATTTTGTTCCAAAATAAACGATGATTTTAAAAATAATTTTGGTTTTTAGAAAAAGCAGTGGCGTACCATTTTTTTTCTTCAAAAATATTCAGTTCAAACCCCGTACGGACGTCACTGGTAAAAATTTTAAAAAATATTTTACGTCAAAAAATGCTCCTTAATTATTAAAACGTGTGTACAAAATTTCATAGAAATATCTTGAGTGATAAAAAAATTATGATAAAAAAGTAATTTTTTTCTTAAAACTGTAGCACCCTGTAGCTCAAAAATTAAGTGAGTTACGACATATGTTGATATTAACTTTTCTTCTTAAAATCAACTAAGGATTCATACCCTTAAGTATCGGCACTCAATTATTAAACACCCGTACATTAAAATAAGTTATTCATGGTGCATATTCTTGAAATTGGGGAGTGAGAAATATTAAGAGAAAATTCTCACTTTCTACTCCCTTATAAAAATTCGTATTTTTGAAATCGAATTCACCAAAATTTGTGGAGAAATTTCTCTCAAAACTTTCTCCGACTTTTAGATAGAGAAAATGAAAATAACGAAAGAATTCAATTCACAAGCATGCGAAATGCGAGTCAGAATTTAATTAAATATATCTCAAAATAATACTATAACCTTATTGATGTTGTTAATAGTTTTCAGGTATATTCATACATTTGCGGTATTTACTTTCCCTTTAAGAGGGTTCTATACCCGTCCGCCATATTGAAAATGTTAATGTTTAAATTTCGGGCTTAATACTTACCAAAAGAAAATCTGTTTTTGCATCCGAGCTTTTTATGCATCGTAAATTAACGCATGATAACTGTTTTTTATAAACATAAAAAAAATAAAATAAAAAAATATAAAAAATATCATATACTTATAAATGTTATCATCCGCCATTCTTCATTTGCCACTAACCTTCTTGTGTATTTACCATTTTTGAAAAAAGTAAGTAGTAGTTTTTTCTAAAACTTATTCGTATGTCTATAACACAAATTGAAATATTGAACAACGGGACACCATGTATAAATAAGTAAAAGTCATAAATTATTTTTAAATTTATTATTTTATCTGAAAATACCAAAATAATTTTTAAAATTTTGAGATTTTCATTAGTGAGTCGTAGAAAAAATATACTGTATAACTCGAGTGGATTATCCGTATCGCACTTAGACGATTAATTACTCTGCCTACGCCGTCGTGTTTAAACTTCGTTTGATATCGCCATCATTTCCACTCTTGTTGCAAAACTACTATTTTCCACGCAACTATTTCATTTATTATTTCACTTTCTACTTTTTATTCCTCTCTCAAGTCTCCTGGTATAATGATTTTCTATTATAAGTTTTTTTTCTACGTTCATGCAAAAAACAAAACTTTATTGAACTATATTTAGTGAAAAAACTGGGTCTTTATTGCACTAGTGCAATAAAAATTTTATTGCACTCATCTGTCATTTTACTACAGCGTTTTATGATCATGACAAAAACATAAATATTCAAATCAACGCCAAATATTTAGTCCATTTTCATTTTCTGTGTTACGTTTTAAAACCAATTGCATATTTTATATTATTTTCAATCATTTAATAAATAAATTAATAAAAAAATTTTTTTTTTTTTAAAATGTCATTACAAATTATGAACACAAACGTAAATAAATGCCTCAAACAAAGGTACACGATCACGGCTACTATGATTTGGATAATACAACTGCAGTTCTATAAAACATTTTTTGGTTTTTGCATGAACGTAGAAAAAATATTGTATGCAACTCGTGCAAAAAGTGTTTATTGCACTTGTTGCATAAATAACTATATTACGACTTACGACTTTTTTCAAATGCTTTTTCATCTGATTTTAGTTTAATTAAATTTTTTAGTATACATTTGAAAATGGTTCACCATCCAGACATTTTTAGACCTGAGGGTACACTAGCAACCAATGAAATTAAAAATAACAACATAGAAGCAATAAAAAAGAAGCCTGATACGGTTTTCCTGTATTTTACAGTTGTTACAGGTAAGTTTGTATATATTTATTACGTAATTAAATTTTTCTAATCCTGTTTATACACTTTTTATTTAACATCACTTTTAATTATTTTTTAAGCATAAATTATTCATGAACTCTAAACTTGCATAAACTAAATTATAAAAAAAATCCATATGATTTAATAGTGATAATCGAAATGACATTCTATACATTAAACCTAAAATTTCTCACTAAAGCAATGCATTTAAAATATTTTGTCCACGACCACTTAATAAAAATCAATATTCTACCTTCTAACTAAGACCATATGGTACCGATATATCACTAGAGTAAATTATAGGTTTGTTTTGGTTCCAATTTAAGAACCGTTCTGACATGCGCAGTAATTTAAAAGTGTTTTGGTTAATTTTGAATCAGTTCAGAACCGGAGGTGACGTAAAATTCTGTGTTTTGGTTCACTCATGGAATTATTTTAGAACTATTCTTGAACGGTTTAAACCAGCCATACTCAACCTGCGGCCCGCGGGCCGCATGCAGCCCTCCAAGCTGTTCTGTGCGGCTCTCCAAGCTTTCTTGTGTGACCACAAACAATTATTAGTAACTGAAATTGTTGACCTATAGTCCTGTCCTTGCGACTTTTCAAAGCAATAACACAACTAAAACAACATGAGGACCTTTTTTTTAGAACATTGTGGCCCGTGTAGCATAACAAAGAGATTTATGTGGCCCGAAAGAAAAAAAGGATGAGTACAGCTGGTTTAAACAGTTTTTACTAGTGAGCAAAAATTATTTTAGAATTTTTAGTTCGAGCTTGCGTATAGTGAAGAAAGCTATGAAACGAGAACTGACAACTAATTATTGATTTATTTCATTTCGTTTATGTTTTGAACTGTTGATTTTGAGATTTGAGATTGTCTTTTATTTGTGCCTTTTTACGTTCATATTTTTATTAGAACTTATTAACTTAAAACAAAAACAAGTTTATTTATACAGAAACGTATGTATTCATATTAACATTATCCATGATGGGATGACTAATTTGAAATTAAATAATTTTTATACATATATATTTTAAAAAATATGGAACACAAAAGACAAATTTATAAGAAAAAGTAACAAGAATCGAACCAAATATATATTTATAAGTAAAACAATATTCGAACAAAAGATATAAGTAAAAACGTATAAGAGTCGACAAGAATACATATGAAATAAAATATACGTTTACAACCCTTTGTTAATTTTAAGAACAAACAAAAATGGCATTTTTTTCCAACTCATTACAATTATTTCCCACCTGCTATGTTCTAATTTAACAGTTTTCCATCATACGAACTTGCCTCGTTACTGTTAAAACTCGGCCTAACATGTACGTTACGGATAATGTAAACGTTCAATCATAGGACCCAATATTTTTATGTAGTTCACATAATTGACAATAATTGATGGCTTTTTGTCCTCAATAATAAAGGCTATTGTAATGACAAATGCAAAAAGAAGAAAAATAACAAAAGTGTTTTTGTTCATACTTTTTTAAATCGATTCTGAATCAGTTTTATTATTTTTGTCACTGCGCAACCCTGCGTAGTCCAAATAAAATTCATCAACCGTTCTAATTTCGGAACCAAAACAAAGCTTTTGGATAATTCACGCATTTGTAATTCTGGCACATTCCGGTAGGTGACTATAGTCTACTTTTATGTATGAGAGAGTATTAAAATAATAAAGCATTCGTAATCCATAGGCGTATCACTTCTTTTAGTAGACAGTTAAAATATTTTTTAAAGTTATTCCTCGAGTATACACTTATATTTTCACCTAATTAACCTGCTTATAACTTCTAAACAGCTGAAGGTAAAAAAGTGCAATTTTTCCTAAAATGTTTTATTTTTCCGGGTTATATAGGTATAAGGGTTTAAACTTTGACTTTTAAACAACGTTACGTTCATAAATAATAATTTTAATATAAAAACTACTTCTTACCTACAAATCCAAATCAGAAGATGAACTGTCGCAACCAATATTTACAATGAGTGGCTCGATCATTTCATCAGTAATATTGTCTAACTTCCACATTTTCTCTTCTTCTTTAATCGTATGATTTACTGCCTTTTCCCAGTTTTCAGGCTTCACATTATTTACAGCCTCCAAAAACAACTGTTTAACATCAGTCATTTTAAAAGAATTATTTTTTCTTGAAACTTCTCCCTTTATCTGTGCCCATATCAGTTCAATCGGGTTTACTTCGCAATGATATGGTGGTGATCTAACCACCGTCATCCCACGATTTTTTGCAATTTCATCAATTTCATATTTTTTGAATTTCTCTTCATGAAGGGAACACAAATGATACAGTTCTTTTCTCACAGAACCGGGATGGATCTTAATATTCTTTGAATTTAGCCAAATCTGTAAATCTTTTTTTAACCACTCGGTTGTGAGCATTTTTTCTAGAAGTGTCGAGTGATAACTTGCATTAGCCATTACTATTATAGAGTTCTGAAGAAGAAGATCTATAATTTGTTCGAACCACTCTTTAAAGACATCAGCATTCATGTTCTCATGGTAGTCACCGGTACGAGTAGATTCAAAAGTCAATAAACCACCTTTAACAAAACCGTTTGAACTTCCGATGTGTACTATTATTAGTCTGCGCTCCTTTCCTGATGGTGGATTTAAACCAGTAGATTATTTAAAAAAGCCTGTCTTCGACTTGTAACAGTTTCATCTTGCCAAAATTTATTTGGTTTATGTCCCTCGTTGATCCATGTTTCATCTAAATAAAATATATTTCTTCTTTGGTTTCTCATTTCTTTTATAGTCCTTAGGTAATTTCTTCTTCATACTACAATATCGCTTCTTTCTATTAAAATAGACTTTCTGCAATGCTTTTTCCATAGAAAACCTATTTCTTTTAAAAGTTTCCATAGTGTGTTTCGACTCATTTCAGGGTAATCCTTATCATCTCGAACCGTGGCAAGAACTTTGTCTACTGTCGGAAATTATTTTCTAAAGAAGAACGCATGCACTTTCCTTCGAAGTCTTTCTTTCAAAAGGTTTTCTAATTGAAATTTTGGTTTTCCTGGAGCTTTACGTGCTGTTTGAAACTCGCCATATTTCTCTTCTTTAACAACTCTGTAAATCGTAGATTTCCCAACACCAAGCGTACTACTAACTATAATCGCATTTTTGGTGAAATTTGTTGGGAAGGTATTTATCTACTTATAATTCGATTACTGTAAGAAATTCTTGGAATTAAAATAAAACAAAATGGGCAAATATTATTGAAAATAATCTTAAGATACGGCTATGTAATCTTTAATACACAGGGCTTTTGGCCTGTCCAAACCTTTTTCTATTGTTATGTACAGCTTATGTTTATAAAGGACAAATAAAAGACCCAAAACTTGTAATAGCTCAGGTACATTTATTACAATTTTAGGAAATATTTAGATTATTCTGTAAAAATATTTAAAATGACCGTACTAAGTTTTGCATTAGAAATGCTGTTTTATTACTCTCTCATACATAAAAATAGACTATAGAGATGGGCGATACTTTCATAACGATATTTTATAGAGTGCACTTCAGATTTTGTGATTTATGACATAAGTTATCACAAGATTTTGTCATATATATTTTAGTCGTATGTAGAATTAAAGTCATACCATTTTCATGTGATAAAATCATGTGTTAAATCACATAATCTGAAGTGCAGTTAATATTGATTTTAAATATTATATCGATACGGTGAATCGATACTTTACACAGTATCGCCCATCTCTATAGGTGTCACGGATTATTTGACTTTTTCCTAAAATTTATTAATTTTGAATTTGAAGAATTTTTTTGTTAAACAACAACCGTTAGTTACCTATGTTTAATAAAAACTTTCCGTTCTACACTTAACTTTTATTTAATAAAGAAATTATAATGGTCGTGGACAAAGTATAGTAATACTCGCAATTTATAGTCATTTTCACTCGTGTGACTTGCGCACCTCGCCTACGGCTCGCAAACGTCACCCTGCGTTAATAATGGCTACCATATATTGCTCGTTTAATTATATACTATTTTTAGTTTTTATGACAATTATGTAACTACTCGTATTCTACTTCTGATAGAATAAAAAATATTCAATATATTTTAGTAAATTAATTAAATATTATCTTTTTTCCAAAAGAATTTGTTTGTATTTTATGCAACATACGATCATAAGATGAATTGTTTATTTTTAAAATGAAGAAACTGATAAACGCTGAATGAACTTTTGTACGATATTCATTCAGAGAATAATATTTTTGATCGAATTTGACACACTTCTCGTAGATATAGAACAACGATCCACATATTTTCGTAATCTACGCCTCGAAATCTATAAGATGGCAAGATACCATAAGAAACATAAAAGTGTTTAGTAATTTAAAATGTATCTCCATGAACTGTACAAAGTTGTTGTGGAATATTTTTTTATCGGTATTTAAATAAATTATATAAGTTTTGGTTGTATGAGGTTAGGTTACAGTTATCTATTGTTCAAATCAGCACGTTACACATCGATTAGAGAGAGACCTTATGTTAAGAGAAGGATCAAGCAATCGTTTGGTCACCTTGGAATATTTATTTTTTATACAGATCTGTCAAAATTATAAGAGTGTCATTATTATTTTTAAAAAGAACTGTCTGGATGAAAATAAAACGGAATTTCTAAGTTTCTATTTATTCGTTTAATTTACGACAAAACTGTTAAAAAGTACATTACATTTGAATAGGCCTTTTCATCATGTGACGAGCGCAAGCGCAGCAGCCATGTTAAAATGGCGGTAATTCAAAAGTTTCGTACTGTTTTGATCGACAATGGCTGGGAAAGCAATACTATCTCTAGAGATAAATCAATCAATAGTAAAAATCGTTGATAGTTTTTAACTTTTTTATAACTTTGTGGAAGCACATAGTTATAAGCAAATTTAGAGGTGGTTAAAGTGTCTTGGAAGTTTGCAACAAGGCATAAAGTGTTCTAATTGAGA